CAACTGACGAGTGGTTAACAAAAATGTGGTATATTTACACAATGGAGTTCTATTCAGCAGTGAAGAAAGATGAAATAATGAAATTTGCAGGCAAATGGATGAATCTGGAAACTGTTATACTAAGTCAAGTAACACCGATTCAGAAAAATAAAAGACGTATGTTTCTCCCTCATGCTTTCACTAAGATGATGCTGTACAGCAGTCCTTTCTGCATGAAATAACTACGATCACCACGATTTTGGCTGAGCCTGATCACCAAACATCATCATAACTGGGCTTGTTGATGGTTGTACTCATTCATTAAAAGAGGGCCAAGCAGGATCGTTGGACCCTCACTGGAGTACCCAGCCACTCTTCCCAGCCAACTGTATGTAATTTGGCCCTAACCACACATGGTCTCCTAGATTTGGGGAGGACTAAAGTAGACAATCTGGGGAAGGTTAGGAAGAGAAGGCATGACCCCTGCTGGGTAAAGGCTATCCAGTGTGCATATCTCAGGTCACACATACACCTCAGCAATCCCTCAGTTATCGTGATAAGCAAGCTCAGAAAATTCATCGGTTCCCCAGTAAAACTTTAATCAAACATTGGTTTGACACTAGAACCTTAAAAGGGGATAAGCATTGCTTAGTATCCCTGGGAAAAGAATTCTCACAACAGAAAATATTTGTTAATATTATTATATCTCATAATTATTAAAAAAGAAAATAATATAAAAGATGTTAAAAGGATATGGGAATGGAGATATTTTCCAAAATAGAAAAAATGAGAAAGGCAAGTGATGAAGGTCTGTGAAGGTTTGTTATGATACATAAAGGATGAGACAAAAATAACATACACATAATTTTAAAATTTCTAAGGTCATAGTTTAGTCAACTTGTCTAAGGAACAAAATATATGTCTAGTCAAGGTTTATCTGAGAATGTTTGGTTTTTGCCCAAACTTTATCTACATGGCACATGGTAATTAGAAGCACCAGACTGGTGGAACTAACCTTCTTAGATGTTTAACAGCCATAACTTGAGGCCTATACTAATAGGACAGGTTTGCTCCTTACCCTCCAAGGTTGACTAATTTCCAGGGGACTATGGAGCATCTCTCAAAATGTCCTGTAACTGTGATAAATCACCTGTCCTCTTGTTCAGGGAGGCCATGGAGACTCCACCAGATGGATTTGAACCAGTGTCCAGTCTACAAAGAGGAGGATCAACACAGAGGAATCACTTCCTCCATGCTTCCAAGCAAAGCCAACAATGGTCGAGCAGGACCTTTGGCTT